CAAAACACACACACACACACACACACACACACACACACACACACACACACACTCATACACACTCATTCATGCATACACATTTTCTTATCTTTGTCAGTTGACACAACCCATAGCAGATTTCATAATGGCTGTTGTGAATAGTGCTATAATAAACATAGATGGGCATATATGTAGTATATACCTAGGAGCTGGGTCAATATCTGAAATATCACCATACCCGATTTCAACGTATACTACAGAACCATAATTAATAATACGGTGCTAACACAAAAACAGACATGTAGGTTGATGGAATAGAATATAGGACCTTGAAATAAACACACACAGCCATACCCAACTAGTTTGCTTACTTTTTGGTTTTTTTGAGACAGGGTCTTATGTAGCATAAGACAGCCTTGAACTCCTGATCCTATCTCTACTTCTTAAGTGCTGGGTTAACAGATGTGCCATCATGCTTTACTTAGCCACTTGATTTTTGACAAAGATGCCAAAAACATACATTGTAGAAAAGACAGCTTCTTCAACAGATGGTGCTGAGAAAACTGAATATCCAGTGACTTTAAAAAATTATTTTTAACTATGTGTATGAGTGTGTATCTGTGTATGGGTTTGTGCATGTTAGGGCAATTGCCCACAGAGATCAGGGGCACTGGAGTTACATGCAGTAGGAAGTACTCAGTGTAGATTCTAGGAACTGAACTCTGCAAGATTACATGCCCTTAACCACTGAGCCCTTTCAATAACTTTTTGTTTTTGGAGACAGTGGTTCTCTGTGTAGCTTTGGAGCCTGTCCTGGAACTAGCTCTGTAGACCAGGCTGGCCTCGAACTCACAGAGATCTGCCCGCCTCTGCCTCCTGAGTGCTGGGACTAAAGGCGTGCACCACCACTGCCTGGCTCAATGACCTTTTAATACATTTCCAATAAGTTGCAGGCTTTACCATACATCACCCTCCTCAAGAGTCTGGCATGAACATGAACTAGTTTAGTACTTGTTTCAGTACCACCAACACACCCTTTTCTTGGCAGATTCTTCATAGTGAAATGCACAGGTCTTAAGTGTACCACAGATGAGTTTTGACAAACATTTGATTGCAATGAGCATTCATTAGGGTGTGGTGTGTGGTGTGGTGTGGTGTGTGTGTGTGTGTGTGTGTGTGTTGCAAGTGCTGGAGATAGGACCTCACATGATAGATAAGCATTCAGCCACTAACCTACATCCCCACATCTCTCAATACTGACTCACATCCTAACTTTTTCACATCCTTACTTTTTTATATGGTGGTCTTGATGATGCAGTCAGATTTTCCTATTAGAAAAATCCATTTAAAGCTTCTCAATGTAGATGAGGAAGGAAAGTAAGAGTCCAGATGGGAGAGAACAGAGAGTGAAGGGTCCTATTCCTATTGGGTGGTTGATAAGCTTGCACCAGGGCAGAGGCCTTGGAGAACACAAGGCTGAGGAAGAACCAGGGAAGAGCAGAGGAAGTCAAAGCATGTCTTGTAGCAGACATCATGCTGGGCACTTAAGTATAATGTTAGCGATGCTCAGAACAGAGTGAGAAGCACTGTCTTCACGGAAGGAAACCCTACCCTTTGCAAAGCTGACATGTTAGCAGTCATTGATACAGTTTCGTGTGTGTTCCATACTCTCACATACACTTCACCATTACCCTTTGTCGGAGGCCTAGCACCTCCCTTTGGAACCCTTTCTTAAGAGCCCCACTCAAACTCAGGCTGAGGCAGGTCCCCTTCTCTGGACTCCTCAGTCTTTGTTTCATCTAGTCTCAGCACAGATCCCCCTGTGTTGTCTCTAGGTGACTCCTCTAGTACACCATGAGCTCCTTGAGGGCAGGGACTTCTCTGAGGCCCAAGTTCCTAGTACTGGGATCTGGAAGACATTGTTGAATTTAAAAAATGTTATGTGACTTGTCTGAGGTTACGTAATTTTTTTTATTTTCAAGTATTTTATTTTATATTTATTTATTTATTTATTTATTTGTTTATTTATTTATTTTGTTTTTTCGAGACAGGGTTTCTCTGTGTAGCTTTGCGCCTTTCTTGGAGCTCACTTGGTAGCCCAGGCTGGCCTCAAACTCACAGAGATCTGCCTGGCTCTACCTCCCGAGTGCTGGGATTAAAGGCATGCACCACTACCGCCCGGCTATTATTTTTAATTTTTTAAATTCATTTTACATACCAACCACAGATCCCCCTCTTCCCTCCTCCTGCCCACCCCCCAGGCTTCCCCTCCAACCCACCCTCCATTCCCTCCTCCAACAAGATAAGGCCTCCCATGGGTGTCAGCAGAGCCTGGTACATTCAGTTGAGGCAGGTCTAAGCCCTCCCCCCACCCCCCATCAAGACTGTGCGGTGTCCCACCATAGGGAATGGGCTCCAAAAAGCCAGCGGGCCTAGTCCAGTCCCATGGAGGCTGCACAGCTATTGGTCTCAAGTTCATGAGAGGTTAGATAATCTTAAGTGAAGAAGTGGAGTGGAACCTAGGTCCTGTAATTCTAAAACACCATTCCAATTGCCTTTTGTTGACCTGCCTAACCCAACACCTTTCTTTTCTCCCCTACAAGGACTGAGGAGGAGAAGAAAGACTGGGTCCAGGTAACACCCATGGTTTTGTGGTAGGGGTCTGGAAGGGTTTTAACAGGTCTCTTAGGGGCTGATATACTTTCCCTTAAAACAGAATAGGCTTGCACACCAGCCTTCCAGCAGATGCTATTATTGCCCTCTTACAGAGAAGCAAGCCGAAGTCCTGAGGTCAGATAGAAGCATTCTTTTCCAAAGCCAGCTCCTCTGAATCAGGCTTTCTAAAAGCTTGCACCTAACCAGCCGTCAGGAAGGCGGTCTGAGGAGGTTTTCCAGCCACCACTCCCCTTTCCACATTTTATAATTACCAGATGGAGACCTGGATTGAGGGAGGGATTTTCTCAGAGTCCTGAGTGTGTCAAGGGCAGAGCTAGGTCTAGAACTCTAGGCTAAGACATATGAAGGTGAGGGTAGAGATAGGTGTCTTGTGGTGTGATCTGACCTCTCATTTCTCACACCTCTTCACCAGGCCATCAACTCCACCCTCCTGAAGCATGAACAGACCCTGGAGACTTTCAAACTGTTGAATTCTACAAACAGGGATGATGAAGATACTCCCCCTAACTCTCCAGTAAGAGTTCTACTCTCTCCCCCCCTCCTCCCAGTACTGGGATCCCTTTGAGGCTGCATGTTACCACCTTCCCTTGAGGTGATCTTTTTCTCAGAAAATAGGGACTAGAGAGCAGTGCAGGCCCCTAGGAGCAGTCTTCTGCTGATAGGGCTGCAGACTGTACCCCAGGAAGTAAAAATGACTTACCTCCAATAACAGTGTGGTAGGGTAGAGCCAGACCTTCTGTGTGTGTGTGCTCCCCAACCCTGTGACTCAAGCCTTGCAGAAGAGGCAAGGAGGGTTGGGCTGAGGAGCTGTCTGTGACCAAGACCTAACCCTCCCCCTAGAACGTGGACCTTGGGAAGAGGGCACCTACGCCTATCCGGGAAAAGGAAGTCACCATGTGCATGCGCTGCCAGGAGCCCTTCAATTCCATCACCAAGCGCAGGCATCACTGCAAGGCCTGTGGGCATGTGAGTGTTGGGAGGCAGGGGCAGAGCTAAAATGGGGGCAGGCTGACAGCCTAAAAGCCCACTTCTGATTGGGTACCCTCCGAGTAGGAGGAGGCTGCAAGTTGGCTGTGGTAGTTGATACACTGAAGGGAAAGGCCCAAGGCAATTAGGCTGTTCTTGCCCACTTGCTGCCCCAGGTGGTTTGTGGAAAATGCTCTGAGTTCCGGGCCCGCCTCATCTATGACAACAACCGTTCCAACCGTGTGTGCACTGATTGCTATGTGGCCTTGCATGGGACACCTGGGAGCAGTCCAGCCTGTAGCCAGCATACACCCCAGCGCAGGAGGTCCATCCTAGAGGTAAGAGTTCCTAACCACAATCCCCAAAGTGTGCCCCCGTTACTGAGCAGGTGTGGTTGAGGTCTGAACATCTCAGACAGTAGGGTGCTGTGTGCACTCACTAGCCAGGTGATCCAGGCTTGAGACAAGGAAAGTGAGTATAAGGGTTAAAAGAGTCCTTTTTATTAAAGTACTTTACACATTTCACCCTCACAGTAACTAATCAACCCATACTCTAATGTTTAATTTACATGTGAGGAAAAACTAAAACCCAGTGAGGGTATCTGGCTAGGTTGCAAGGCAGAAAAACTGCTAGGTTTTGTTTTATCTGAGACAAAGTCTCACTGCATAGCCTAGGCTGGCTCTGGATTTCCTATTCTCCTGCCTCAGCCTATAGGATTTTTTTTTTAAAGAACCAATTGCCTTTTTTTATTATGAAATAGTTTAAGTAATACAACATAAAAAAGACATATCCCTTGACCCAGAAGCTGCCACTGTTAATACTGATGCTTCCTATCTTTCTAGGGCAATTTGGGGTGATTGTTTCATAAAGAAATCAAGGTATCCCAAATGTAAGGGAGCTTACTCTGCACCGGGACTGTTTTAAATGCCTTGTTTATGCTAATTTAAATCTCATAAACACCCTCTGTGCTCTTCTCACAAGTCCTGCATTTTCATCTATTGTTAGGACTGTGGGACAGATGGTGGTAACCACCCACTCATCCCTTTAATCACAATGTTAGAAGGACTTTCTCAGAGCAGGCAATGAGTGTAGAATGAAAGAAGAAAAAAGGTGAGCCGTGAATGTCCCTTAGACTGTAGAGTGCCTGACCAGCATTTCAGTGTTCCCACCTCTTCCACTAGCTGTTAGAGGGAGGCGGCAGCCAAGACTAGCTTTGCTAACTTTGTCTGAGACATAGTCCATACACTACGGGGCTGTTTAAGCGCAGAGAAGAAGCCTTCTGTCAACACTGATGTACCCTGTGTCTCTGATCACAGAAACAGGCCTCGGTGGCTGCTGAGAACAGCGTCATCTGCAGCTTCCTGCACTACATGGAGAAGGGTGGGAAAGGATGGCACAAGGCATGGTTTGTGGTTCCTGAGAATGAACCCTTGGTGCTGTACATCTATGGAGCCCCTCAGGTGTGCATCCCATTCCTTCAGGTTTTTCCAACCACCTGACAAAGCCAGGCTGTCCCTTCCTCGTATGCCTTGTCCTTTGGGGACAGGGTGAGCCTAGCAAAGGGAAAAATCAAAACCCCCATCCTTTTGTGACAGAGTATGTAGAGACAAGTGTTTGGAGGCCAAGGTATGGAGGGAAAATGAGGGTAAAGTGGCAAATCTAGCTTTGTGGAGCAAACAGGAGCGGAGACAGGCACCTCTAGGTCTGACTTTAACAATGTGCACATAGAGGAAACTGTCCAAAGACCTGAATCTGTAATAATAGTGAAGACTAGCAGTTGGTTTGGGCATGGGGGAGACAGATATGTACACCAGCCTGCCTTCTAGTCCTAGTTCAGACACCTTCCTGTTCATTACAGTGAAGGCAAGGGTCTTCAGCAGAGGAAACAAAACGAAGTTGTTTCACTGGGTAGAGGGCACGGTCCAGCCCCTAGATGACACTGGCTCTGTCCCTCCTTCCCAGGATGTGAAAGCCCAGCGCAGCCTGCCCCTCATTGGCTTTGAGGTGGGGCCTCCTGAGGCAGGGGAGCGGCCTGACAGGAGGCACGTCTTCAAGATCACACAGAGCCACCTAAGCTGGTACTTCAGCCCAGAGACAGAAGAACTCCAGCGGCGCTGGATGGCTGTGCTCGGCAGGGCGGGCCGTGGGGACACATTCTGCCCAGGGCCCACACTGTCTGAGGACAGGGAGACGGAGGAGACACCAGGGGCAGCCACAGGAGCCACTGCTGAACCTCCTGAAGCCTCCCAGACCCGAGACAAGACCTAGAGGGTTTGGGGGGGAACTAGAAACTCCTGCCCCACACTCCAGCTGCCCATGTTCAATTGGGGGCTCCAGCCCACTCCCAATGCAGTCAATACTTGAATTCCCATCACGGGCACTTTCAATCCCGAATGCTGGGTCTTGGGTTTTTTAATTCATCTTTTCACAAAATGTGGGCTTTTTAAAAACTATTCCTACATTGATGTTAATTTTTTAAATCCCTGTCCCCAGGGAGGGCAGGAGCTAATTGCTAGACTCACTTGAATTAGGCTGTTTCCTCCCAATACCCCACAGATCCTACTTCCACCCAGTTCCCCACAAAAGCACCAGAGGCAGGAGACCTGGATTCAAGTGCCAGCTCTGTTACTGACCCTGGAACCCCAACCTACCCTTGTCTCCTCAGCCAGTGTCTTCACGTGTATGACTTTACATGGGGCGGTAACTAGACCCTTCTTGCCTTTCCCATGGCTTATAGCTTCTACCTAGCCCCAAAGCAATCCAGTATTTTATCGTCCAGACCCATGGCAGGGCCACTGGGGCAGGACGGGAATGGGAGGGGGGAGGACAATGGATACTGTTTTTTAAAGAAAAATACAGTTTATTTCAGGCTTACAGTAACTTTCAGAACACTGATATGGTCCGTTCGTTTGTCCAAAGTCCAAGGCTACTGGGGGTGGGTGGGTGGGTGGGGTGCAGAAACTACTCTTTCACTGAACTCTGAAGCTCAGCTCTCAGAAGGCTGATTCCAAGGTTAAATCGTGGATTAAACAAGAAGGTGTTGTGTTATTAAGGTCTTAAGCCTCATCCCTGGACTTAAAACAGCCCAACTTTCCCAAGTTCACCATTTAGTCAAGTCCTTCGAACTCTCAAGAGTATTCAGGGTGGGAGCCTTCACAGGAGGATGCAAGTTCTGGGCAGGGGAAGAGGTGCTCTGTGGGAGGCTGGGGTGGGGACATTGGGGAGGTACCACACTTACATCTCCTCTCTTCCAACTGCATGTTTATCTCGCCATTCCCAATCCAGCCAGCCTCCCACCACTGCGGAATTCTCATCCTTCCCACAAATTTACCTGCCTGCTGTCCACAAGTCTGGCTTCTACTCCAACCATAGCCACACTCATTGTCCATCTTCACATTCACTGCACCTAGGAGGCACTATGCTGGGAAACCTGGTCTTATCTCTCATATGGTACCTAAGGTTCAAAGGGCTGGAATAGGTCCCATCAACACAACCAAGGATCCTAGGGCTTTTCTTCCCCTGGAGGGAAGGACAGGGGAACAAGGTAGGAATATGGTTATCAGGACAGAGGTGTATATAGCCCTCTAAAACCGCCCCTATAACTCTCATAATACTTAACAAGGGCCCAAACCATTTACTGCCCTACTCATTTCTTTCTCCGGACAATGGTCCACCCGTCTTCTACTATATCCTCTTCCTTAATAGTCTGGGGGTCTGGATCAGAGGGTTGAGGCTGGGGGCAGACCACATCCGCTGTGGGCCCATCATTTGTAGCTGTCACCTAGAGGGAAAATATAAGAGAGAGCACTAAGTAATTACCCATGCTCTGCTCCCAACTTTCCCATGACTATATGAACTATCTTTTGATAACACCACCACCACCACCACCTACAACCATCATCACTTCCCTGGGGACCTAGCTACTCTTCTAAAAAATTAACATTTGCAACACCCCCACCCCCACCTTGCGCACCACACACAGGCACCTCTTTCACCTCCATTTCTTCCACGCTGTCCACATCATCTTCAGCCACATCAGGTTTTTCGGCCGTCTTAAGTGGAGTAGCCATGACCTTGCACTTTTTTTGGTTGATCTGAGCAGTCATCTCCTGCAGAGCAGCCCCATCACCCTTCTGGAAGTGGTGGAACATGGTCTGTAGCTGCTGACTCACCTACCAAGGAAACATCCAAACGGCTTGGAGTTTTCAGACAATCTATCATAAAACCAGCCTCTGTTTACAGCAGACTAGAGGAGTGTGGAATTTTTCAGAAAAAAAGTGGGGTTCTCTTCTTCCTAAGAAGTTCATCCAAGCATCTGGGAACTGGTGGATGCATATAATGGGGAGGCCTCTGAGGCAGGATTGTGAGTTTGAGGTGGACACTGTCAACATAAAATAGCTGAGAGTGCTGGCCATGCCTTTAACCCCAGCACCCGGGAGGCAGAGGCAGGCAGGTCTCTGTGAGTTCAAGGCCAGCCTGGGCTACATAGCGAGTTCTAGGCAAGCCAGGGCAACATAGTGAGACCTTGTCTCAAAAAATAAAGCAACAACAAAGTCCAGTAGAGCAACCACAAATCAAGAGCTTGGGTGACAGTGTGAAGCCTTGAGTGAGGGTCTCCCAGGAGAGAAGGTATTAGAATTGCACACCTATAATCCCAGTACTTGGGAGGCTGAGGCAGGATGACTGCTATGAATTTGAGGTTGGCCTGGGCTACATAGTATTTCAGGCTGCCTAGGCTGGAGAGTAAAAAACAAACAAACAAAAAAAAACTGTCTCAAAAAAAGAGAGAGAAGATGCAAATGAAAGATAATCTCACCAGGGTGAGCAGTGTTAATCAGAACAGGAATGGAATTTGATCTGGCCCAGCTTGTGGCATGTGGGGAAAATCATTGGTTGAGAATGATCTCAAGAGAAATAAAGGTAATATTTGAAAATGCAATAGGGAATCTTGTCTATGCCTCAAGAAAAGAATGGTTACAACCAAGAATCTTGTCCCAGACAGTACAAAGAAGAGCGAGCAGGCAGGGGGCTGACAACAGTTTCCATATGCTCACCTGGGGCAGGCTCCCATCTTCCACAACTGTATCAAACTCAGTGGTCATCAGCTCCCCAAGGAAATCTTCCACCTCTTCCAGATCCAAATCAGCTAAATAGGAAAGGATAGGACCCTTTAGACAAAGATCAACTTCATCAGCCCTGCCCACTATTCTTCAATACATATCTGCTACATCTGGTTGGGAGGTAAAGGTGCAGTGAGCCTTTATTCACTAAAACACCCTCTTTCACTTTGCCTATTCTAACTGACCTCAGCTTAAGGTGACCTTGAAATAGCCTCAGAGCCTTCACTTTCTCATTTCTAAAGAGAGGCTAATAGGGCCCCCTGGAGGGTCTATTAGGAGGACTCATCTAACACAATGCTTGGCAAAAGGGAGATGAGATCTCTAATATCAATTTGCATTACTTCAGAGCTGAAATACTGAAGTATAGAGACCCTTCACAGCTGTGGCTCCACTAATACAGGAGTCCAGAGACTCAACAGTAGTGGGTAAGAAGAAATGGATATGGTACTCATTGGTTTTTTTGTTGCTGGGGATCAACCCCAGGGTCTGGCACATGCTGGGCAAACAACCACTGAACTACACCCTCAGCTGGATGCATACTTTTAAAAATGAAATCATAACCTAAACAACCACCTTCAAACTTTGTGACTCTGGCTAAGCCCTGTTCACTGGACCTCAGTTATCTTACGGGTCCATGCCTTCTTCTCCCAGACTAGCTTTCTCTTCCCTACATGCCTTCTTCTCCCAGACATAACTCTTCTACGCTTGTGCTTTTACAAGCTATTGAAATCTAATAGCCTCCAAATTTCTTTTCCACTCAGGCTAATTATGTATCCAGATGTTAAACAGGTGCCTCAAGTCCCCATTTCCGAAGCCAGATTTATTATCCCTGCCTTCCAAACCAGCATCTCATCCTCCAAGGTCCCTCTATCCAAACGAAGTTTCTTTCTTTTTTTAAAAAAAAAAAAAAAAAGATTTATTTATTACATATACAGTGTTCTGTCTGCATGTGCATGTGTCCCTGCAGGCCAGATGAGGGCACCAGTTGTCATTACAGGTGGTTGTGAGCCACTATGTGGGTGCTGGGAATTGAACTCAGGACCTCTGGAAGAGCAGCCAGTGCTCTTAACCCCTGAGCCCATCTCTCCAGCCCCAAAGGAAGTTTTTTTTTTTTTTTTAAAGATTTATTTTATTTATCATGTACACGGTGTTCTGTCCGCATGTATCCCTGCAGGCCAGAAGAGGGCGCCAGATCTCATTACAGATGGTTGTGAAGCCACCATGTGGTTGCTGGGAATTGAACTCGGGACCTCTGGAAGAACAGCTACCTCTGAGCCACCTCTCCAGCCCCCAAAGGAAGTTTCTTAATCTACCCTGCCACTCACCACAAATTTGTCTCTTTCCTCAACCCCCTCTATGGACAAGTATTCTTTTTCCTGACCATTGCCACTGCCCTATTTTAGACATTTTCGAGACCCAAATAGCCTTCTCATGAGTGTTTCCTTCTCATAATCTATACTACTTTCTGAATTTTCTAGCAAACACCATCCTATTACTTTAGAACCTGCTCATGAATTTTATTACCTATTGTGAAGTTTGCCTTTGATATAAATATTCTGCTAGGTTTAAGGAGTTGTTTTGTTTTTGTTACAGGTATCATGTAGCCCAGGCTAGCATCAAACTGTGTAGTCCAAGGCTAGCCTAGAACTCCTGATGATTGGTGATCCTCCTGCCTTCACCTCCTCAGTGCTAAGATTACAAGCATGAATCACCATGCTTGATTAATGTGGCTCTGGGGATTGAAACTAAGGCCTCTTACATGTCATGCAAGTACTCTACCAATTGAGCTACATCCCCAGCTCAATTTTGCTGAGTTTTAACAAGGATTTCCATAGAATGCTAATGGAAAACAAAGCCAGGATTGATAAAACACACCAATAATCCCCGCACTCTCAGGAAAATGAAGCAGGAGGAACATCAATTCCACAACAGCTGGACTATAAAAGGAGATACTGTTCCCAATTACCACCACCAACAACATTAATAAAATATCAGCTGGGGGGAGAGTTTATGTAATTTGACTGGAGAAACTTTTTCTGCATTGAACATCTAACTGGACAAGTCTTCTATAGCTTGAATTTTACAAACACTGGCCTAAAGGATATAATCAAAGGCACATAAGGTCTCACATCTCTTACCCTTTAGGGTAAGGGTTGTCTCTGTACATGCACAAATACTCTACCACTCTTCCATTCCCTTGCTACATTGGGGGGGGGCTTTTCAAAATACAACACTTAATGTTTCTACCTACATCACCCCTTTTCATTAAGACCCACCCCAATCACTAAAGGCTAAAGACCAAAAAAAAAAAAAAAAAAAAAAAAAAAAAAAGGCTGCCAGCCTGGTCACCAGGGCCACACAAAGAAATCCTGTCTTTAAAAAACAAAAAAGGGCTTCTCCTCAGGCTCAGATAACTCAAGAACTCTAAGCACCTCTTTATCACGACACTTGTCATCCAGTATTCTAACTATCCACTTTCTTATCTGAAGTCACTCACGAGATACACACTCGAAACTACCGCATGTAATACTCCTACTGGGTCCTCGTGTTCTCTTATCCCCACAAAGACAAAGACAAAGCAAAGGGAGTACGTCTTTGCTGGAGAAGTAGCCATATGTGGTTACCAAGCACAAGCACTTGAAATGGTGCTAGTCTCAACTAAGAAACGCCCATTAAGACCTTTAAAACTCCAGATTGTAAAATTTTAATTCTAAAGATGTATAAAATGCTTAATTCTTATGACACACCAAAATACTTATTTTATGTATATGGTGTTTTGCTTGCATGTATGTCTGCACTCTCTATGGACAGAAGATGGTGTCAGATCACCTGGAACTGCAGTTACAGACAGTTATGAGTTACCATGTAGACTCACTCGAGTCATCTGTAAAAAACAAATACTCTTAAATGCTGAGCCATCTTTTCAGCCGTGTTTCACTTACTTGTCAATTATGTGTATATGTACATGTGTGCAAATGAAGAAGACTGCATCCTCTGGAGCTGGAGTTACAGGTGGTTTGTGAGCTACCAGACAAAGGTACTGGGGACCTTACTCATGTCCTCTGGAAGAGCAGGAAGCTAAGCATCTCTACAGCCCTTTCCTTTTAAGGACAAGTTCTGGCTATGTAGCCAAGGCTGGCTTCAAACTCAGAGGAGTTCTCCTACCTCAGTCCCCTTAGTGCTGGATTTACAGACATGGCCCATATGCTAGGCTTTGGATGTGAATTTAATACTATTATAGTTGCTTCTTTCATTTATTCATTCATTCATTTGTGGTAGCGGGGATTGAACCTAGCGTCTCACATGTAGTAGGTAAGCACTTCCATAGAGCTACATCCCCAACTCTTTATTTTTTATTATGAGACAAGGTCATGGTAATGTTGTTCAGGTTAGTCTTGAACTTGAGGTCCTTTTGCCTCAGGAGCAACAGATTATAGGACTGTACCACAGGGCTTGGCTGCCTTTTATTAGAGGCATTGCTTTTAGTTTTGGTGGTACTAGAGATAGAACTCAGAAACATGAGCATGCTAGGAAAGTGCTCTACCACTGGGCTACACGCTTCACCCAACAATCTTAAAATAGGTTTACCCGAGTAGGGGGAGTCAGACATCTTAAGTGACTCGGTCCTCTCTTTCCATGTGGTCCCACCTATCAGATTCGGATCACTATGTTTGTTGGCCTTTGCCCACGGAGCCATCTTTCCCTCCCCTGACCCAGCAATTTTACGATATGGCTCACACAGTTCTATTAGTCGGATCTTTTCATAACCATTTTAGGAATTAAGAGACTCTATGGAAGGTAAAATGTGTTGTCCAGGATCATAGTGTCACTGCCTGCAAAGCACCCGAAACGCACGATTCTAATTCCAAAGTCACCATTCATTCGATAAGACAAGCGCGGAGGCGGTTGTGGCGCACGTCTTTAATCCCAGCACTCGAGAGGCAGGCGGATCTCTGAGTTCGAGGCCAGCCTGGTCTACAGAGCGAGATTCAGGACAGCCAGGACTGTTTGTTACACAGAGAAACCCTGTCTCGAAAAAATAAAAGATAATAATTTTTTTTAAAAGAGAGAGAGAGGGAGAGAAAGCACGGGCTCTCTAGGACGAGGCTCCGCCGCTCCGAAACCCGACAGACAGACAGCAACGTCTCACACTCACTCACCATTGGCGATGAAGTAATCCTCCACTGCACCCCCCAGCCACTCGGCCTTCTCCTGGCTGTGCACGCCCCCGAAGCCATTCTCCACAGCGATCTGTGAACACAGGCCCAAGCCAACCATGACAGCATGGAAACCGGAGTGGCGTGGCGTGGCGTGGCATGGCCTGCCCTGGCCTGGGAGTCTGCCGCCTACACCGCCCAGCCGAGGCTCTGACGCCTTGCCTGGCCAGCTCCTATTGTGCCCCAGCCCTAATTGTGACCCCCGCCGTGGTCCCACTCACCTGTAAAGCAGGCCAAGCATCCAGAGCCGCGCGGACAGCAGCTCCGAAGAGCACTCGCACGTCTTCCCCAGCGCCCGCCATCATCCGTTTGGATCACGTGGCTCCCAGGAAGCCCAATCGCGCGTCAGATCTCGCCAGGCAAAATGAGCCAAAAGCCGATTCTCAGAACGCAGACTCGTTTTCTGCTGACCTGGCAGCAAGACCAGAACAGTTGAAAATTTTGTCAGTGATAGATGATTGCACTTACCACAGTAAATTTTAATAATTAAAGTTGAACCTGGAGCCGAGGACTTAGGGAGGGTAGCCGAAAGAAAGAGGGAGGGAGAAATAGGTAGGGGGGAGGGAGGACGGGGGGGAGAGAGAGAGAGAACCTACAGTTGAGGGCCTGT